GCAGATGTAACAATATAATATTTGATTGATTTGTAACTGCTTGTACATGACTATTATGAGATCATAGTATATTGTAAAGGGGATATAAGAAGCAACAATTTTGAAATAAATGGAGAAGGCAGCAGTCAGCAGGGAGTCATCAGAAGAGAGCCATTATCACCATCTGCCTGAGACTCAAAATGACCCATTGACTCTTTGAGTTTTATTTTATTTTATTTTATTTTCATTCGCCGACTCCACATCCTCCTATCGATACCCTCCTAATGATTGTGTCGAGGCTGGTCCCTGACATTTAGCATTTATTATCTGGAACTCATATTATCAGAGAGACTTCATTGAGGAGAAAGACATTAACTTGGATATGGTAGAAGTATGGTATCTCAATGAGAAAAAAAGAATTTGAAGGGCAAAAATCAGGGCTCGACTAGGCCAGAGGATTTTTATTAAAAAGGAGCAATTATGGACCACAAACAAAAAGATGTTGAATATTATGAGTCATAAGGGAAATGCAAATCAAAAGCCACAAACTGGTACAATACTGGTGGGAATGTAAAATGGTATAGTCACTGAGGAAAACAGGTAAGAACTTCCTCAAAAGATTAAACAGAATTACTCTATGAGTCAGCAATTCTACTCAGTATACACCTAAAATAATTAAATATAGGTGTTCAAACTATTACTTACATGAGGGGGATTTTTTTAAGTTCATGGAAAAAATATAACTAAAAGATATTGGAGGTTGTTTCTCTGCCTTTGGAAGGTTCAAGACCCTCATAGGTGGGGTTCTGTTTTTATTTGGAATTTGCCTTCTCTCACTAGCAATCAAGGCCATACAGACCACCACTGATACAATTATCAGTCAAAAGGAAACCTCACGATTACTCTATGTTAAGTACCAGCAATTCCTACATGAACCACCAGATGATGAGGCTAATGGGAGCCTCAAAGCGGGGAATGAACAGGGAAAGGTAAAACATTAACTTACTGCCTCCCCTCCCAGAAGACAAGCTCGAATGTTGTTAATCAGGTTACTGACAGGGACTAATCTTCTGATTTCCTCCATGTCCTCAAACAGGTCCAAAACCTAGCCCCTCCCCATTTCTATACTATATAAACCTGCATGCATTGAACCTATGCTCAGGGCTCAGAATCTAGAGAAGTTAGCTCTTCTGAGCCAGCCGGCTTAATAAACTTGAAACTTTGCTTCAAAAAAAAAAAAAAAAAAAAGGGATAATGGAATTTTCCTCAAAATACACCCCCTCATATGAATGATTATTGTAGCTGTTAATCACAACGTCAGTAGTTCAAATCTACCAGTTGCTCTGCAGGAAAAAGATGCAGCTTTCTGCTCCTGTGAAGATATACCACGCATCTGTCTGTGGTGGCTTATGTGTTGCTGTGATTCTGGAAGTATTGCAATGGATATTTTAAATACCAAAAGGGTTACTCATAGTGGGCAGGTTTCAGATGAACTTTCAGATTAAGACAGACATGTTCTGGCATGGCACTGTGGGTTAATGTGATGGACTGCAAAATTGGTCAAGGTCAGCAGTTCAGCCACTCCTTAGAAACCCTATACAAGGTCACTATGGGTCAGAACTGACTCAATGGCACTCAACATCAGCAACACAAAGGAAGGAGAGACAAGACTACTTCTGAATACTTAGTCACTGAAAACCTTATGAATAGCAGTGGAACACTGTAGATAGCACCAGAATATTGAAACATAAAGAAGAGCACCAGAATATTGTTAGATACAATGCTGGAAAATGAGCCCCTGAGGTTGATAAGCACTCAAAATATGATTAGAGAAGAGCTGCCTCCTCAAAATAGAGTTGACTGTGATGATGTAAATGGAGTAACCTTGGGACTGTCATTTGCTGATGGGGTACAACTCAAAAGGTGGAGAAACGGTTGTAAACATCCATTCATCATCAGAATATGAAATGTATGGATTATAATCTAGGAAACTTGGAAGTTGTCATAAATGAAATGGAATGTATAAATATCGATATCCTAGGCATTAGTGAGCTAAAATGGACTGGTATTGATCTTTTGGAATCTGACAATCTCATGGTTTACTATGCTGGGAATGACAAACTGAAGAAGAAAGGTGTCACATTCATCATCAAAAAGAACATTTCAAGATTTGTCTTGAAGTACAAACCTGTTTGTATTAGGATAATATCCATATGCAGACAAGGAAGGCCAAGGAGCTCTGGAAACATAGTGATTAGGAGTCAGGCTGCCAACTTCAAGGTCAGCAGTCCAAAACTACCAGCTGTTGTGTGGGAGAAAGATGAGGCTTTCTGTTCCTATAAAGATTCAAAGCCTCAGAAACCCTATATAAGGTCACTATTAGTTGGAACCAACTCCACAGCACAAAACCACCACCACCACAAGAAAGATCAGTTAATACAACTATTATACAAATTTATACACCAACTAAAGTCAGTAATGATGATACTTCAGAATTCTACCAATTTCTTCAGTCTGAAATAGATCATGCAATCAAGAAGTATAGATAATTACTGACGATTAGAATGCAAAGGTTGGAAACAAAGAGGAAAAGAATCAGGCGTTAGAAAAGATACACTTGGTGACAGAAATGATACTGAAGATCACATGACAGAATTTTGCAAGACCAATGACTTTCTCACTGCAAATACCTTTATTAAACAATATAAAAGATGACTATGCACATGGACCTCACCAAATGGAATATACAGAAATCAAGTTGGCTACAACTGTGGAAAGAGACGATGGAAAACTTCACATCATCAGCCAAAACCTGGCCAGGGGCAGACTGTAGAAGAGACCATCAATTGCTCATGTACAAATTCAGGCTGAAGCTGAAGAAAATTAAAACAAGTCCACAAGAGCCAACATATAACCTTGAACATATTACACTTGAATTTGGAGATCATCTCAATAAGAGATTTGATGTATTAGACACTAATGATTGAAGACCAGAACAGTTGTGTGATGACATCAAGAACATCATACAGAAAAAAGCAAAAGGTCATTAAGAAGACAAGAAAGAAGGAAAAGATCAAAACAGATGTCAGAAGTGACTCTGTAACTTACTCTCCAGTATAGAGACACTAAAACAAATGGAAAAAAGGTGGAGGCAAAAGAACTGAATAGAAAATTTCAAAGGGCAGCTTGAGAAGACAAATATTATTATGAAATGTGCAAAGACCTAGAGTTAGAAAAGCTGAGGGAATTGACAAAAAACCTCAATCCTCAACTTGGATTTGGGCAAAATACTGAATGATGAAGAATGCATCAAAAGAAGATAGAAGGATAAAGGCACAAAGTGACTGGCTTACAAGTTTTCAAGAGGGAGTTTAGTTTTGGAGTGTGCAGAGAAGGTAGAGTTCCCACTGAGTAATTTTCATTTTGTCTAGATGGGCTTCCACTGTACCCTGTTACAGGTTGCTTTAGATTCTCTTTCGTATCTTGCTTCAGGAAGCCAAAATGCTGCTTCCTGATACCTTGAATAACCTTGTCTATCTCTGAAAATCATATACCAATTTGATCGACAATGATTTTCCACTATTCAAGATACTAAAAATTATATTCAATGTATTCAAGAAGCTCCCAAAATGCTTGGAATGTTTAGTTTCTTATACAAAATATTCTGAAGGGGAAAACACTCAGGTAGATAAATAATTCTGTAAAGCAAAAACGAAAAATAGTCATTGCATGATTCAAATGTAAAAAAAATTAGAGATAAAGATAAAAACATTGCTGAGGCTGGATGGAAGGCTTAGTAGAGAAAGCGGAACTTTCAGCAGAAATGATAAACTTAGTAAGACTTGAAGAGCAAAGCAAGGAAGATAAAACATTTCAGAACAGAGAATTAGTATGAAGTTAAGCACGAAAGTGGAAATGGGAAGAAGCCATTCAGGAAATAAAAGCATGTGGGAGATGGAATGAAAAATAAAGTTAGAAAGCTAGGAAGTCAAGCTGCCTAAGGACTGAACTACCAAATAAATCAATAAGAGGATACAGAAATTAATAATCAGAGAGATGAAGACCAGGTAAGAAGTAATTGCAGTCATGCAGGTAAAAGTCAAGGTAATCTGGAGAAGAAATTGATTGGTTTTGTACTAGTTTAGTTGCAACTGGGAATCCTTGTGTTATGCAAACAGTTAAGTGCTCAGCTACTAACCAAAACGTTGGCAGTTTGAACCCACCCAGAGAAAGGAAGGCATGGCAATCTGTCATAAACATGAAAACGCTATGGAGCACAGCTCTAGTCTGTAAAATATGGGGCCACAGTGGGTCAGAATCGACGGACAGCTAGTAGGAGTTAAAGTTGACAGTCACAGGCTCAAGTATAAAAGTTCACCAGGCAATTAAAAATATAAAGCTAAGAAGAGAAGCAATGGTTAGAGTTCAATATTCATGATTTGGAGGAAGGTCAAAAACGAAGAGTGAAGAGAATAGAAAACAGGCAAGTTTATGGAACGCCCACATTAAAAGAATTAAAGAATCTTTGTTAGAGATGCTAGCAAAGGAAACCAAAAAAAGGATCAAAATATTCTTTGGTGAGATAATTTATGCTGTTAAACATATATAGATTTATTTGGGGAATTATTTTCTTCTCTCCATTTACTGACACATAGCCCATCTTATTACTCATATCAGTTTAACACCTGTCTTCAGTGCTGTGAAAAAATACACTGCAGTTTATTTTTAAATTTACAAAAACTGATCGTACTGAATGAAATCCAAGAGTTATGATTACCTTCCAAACAAAGCTGAATAAAATTTCTGCAAGCTTTAGGAGCTTCTTTTGACCACAACTCTATGTCAATATCTCCAGCAGTAGTTTTCAATAAAACCTGTAGAAAGATTATTATGTTATTAATTTATTGTTAAATTATCATTTTGCTTAATAATCAGTTGAATTTATAGCATTCACTATTGAGTTTTAAACTGTACATTAGAAATTTTGCTTGGCTTTTGTAGTAACACTCCATAAAATTTCAAATTTTCACCACAGCTCATTATACATTTGCATCTTTTAACATAACATTTTCTGAAATAAATTGGGATTTTTTTTTTAAAGTGCCTGTTTTAATCACAGAATAGAAAAGAAAACCTCATCATTTTTAAAACCAATAATTCAAGCTTGTTATGATCCAGAGAGTTTTCCATTGCATCACTTCAAATAAAATTAGAGTCCTGGTGTGGCACTGTAGGATAAGCACTGGATGGCTCTTCCAAATTCAACAGTTCAAACCCACCAGCCACTCCTCAGAAACCCTATACAGGGTTGCTGTGAAGCAGAATTACCCCAAAAGCACTTAACAATAACAACAAAGAAATTAGATAACAATGAACCCAGGTAATTGTGACACTTTAAAACAATCTTACAATATTCCTTTCCATATAAACATTCTACTTGCTCATTTAAAATCATCTAGTTTACAAAGGAACATTATTAATCCAATTTTGGGCAGGGTCACTATGAGTGGAACCAACTCCATGGCACATAACATCAACAACAACAACTTCTTAAAATGGTATGTCTTAAATCACCATCTATGTCAAACATAATCATTTGATAGTTTTCTTTCGATCAGCTCATAAAGTCAATTACTCCTTAATGGAGCCAGCTGTGTTATAACAATTAAAATCCCTAGAAGCTGAAGCAACAATTTGTAACTGTTTTATTAATAACCAAGATGGTTAGGCTTTAAATTTAAACACTATGGCACAACTGGAGTCCATTTTCTCCAGTATCACATTCTTTTTGTTTCATTTCCTTCCCATTTCCCAGTAGATCAAAGTAGATCAGTGTCAATAATTTGTAACTATCACAATCATTTACAATGTTTTTGCCAATAAAATGTAGTTTTTTTTAAAAAGACATGATTTTCATGGTTAGTCAGTATCACTGATTTCATAATTTTTATTTTCCAACACTCTTTTACCTGATTTCCACAAATAGTTTCTTGGAATTAGAAGGAAGCTTTAATTAAGATCATTTAAACAAGTCTCCACCTTTCACAGATGGCCCAAAAATATTATGAATTGTCTTAAATCAGATTTCACTAATGACAAAGCAGGATTAGCACTTCGTTCTCCTCCCTCTCAAGGAGCTTGGTAGCATAGTGGTCACAAGTTGGGCTGCTAATCTCACAGTCAGCATTTCAAAACTAACCAGTGGTTCCACTGGAGATAAAAGAGGCTTTCTGCTCCCGTAAAGATTGATAGCCTCAGAAAGCCTATGCACGGTTCCTATGAGTTGGAACCTATGCTACAGCACAGCACCACCACCACCACCATTCCTCCCTCTTAAGGAACCTTAGAGGGGCAGTAGTTAAAGCATGTCATGTCTAACTGAAATGCTAGTGGTTCAAATCCACTAGTCGCTCCGTGGGACACAGTTATGGCAAGTTTTCTTCCATAAAGATTTACATCGTTGGAAACACTAAGGTGTAGTTGGACTCTGTCCTTACAGGGTCACTTGGTTTTGTTAGGTGCCATCGAGTCAGTACCGACTCATAGCAACCTTACACACAACATAATGAAACTGCCTGGTCCTGGGCCAACCTCACTATCGCTGCCACACTTGAGTCCATTGATGCTGCCACTCTGCCAATCCTTTTGCTGGGGTCTTCCTCTTTTTCTCTGAACCTCCACCTGTCAAACATGATACCCTTCTCCAGCAACTGGTCCCTGATGACAGTATGTCCAAAGTATGGGAGACGAAGTTTGGCCATCCTGGCCTCCAAGGAGCACTCTGGATGCACTTCGTCCAACATAGAACTGTTGGTTCTTTTGGCAGCCCATGGCACTTTCAATATTCTCCTCCAACACCATAACTCAAAAGCATCAATTCTTATAGTCTTCCTTATTCACTGTCCAGCTTTTGCACGCATATGAAGTTATTGAAAATACCATGGCTTGGGTCAGGCGCACCTTAGTCCTCAAGTTCACATCTTTGCTCTTCAACACTATAAAAAGGTCTTGTGCAGCAGATTTGCCTTAATGCAATATCTTATTTGATTTCTTGACTGCTGCTTCCATGAGTGTTGATGGTTGATCCAAGAAGAAGAGTCCTTGACGACTTCAATCTTTTCTCCTTTGATAAAAATGCTGTTTATTGGTCCAGTGGTGAGGATTTTTGTTTGCTTTACATTGAGATGCAATCCATACTGAAGGCTGTGCTCTTTGATCTTCATCAGGGTCACAATCAGTCACAATTAACTCATCATTTCTTTTATTTTATCAAATCTATTCTTTTATCAATTAACTCATCATTCCATTTCTTTTCCAGAAGCCTAGATATATCACAATAAGTTTGTATAACACTGATGAAATTGTATCTTTTGGGTCTTTCACCGGAAGTATCAGGAGCTCTGGTAGCATAGTGGTTATGAGTTGGGCTACTAATCTCAGGTCAGCAGTTGAAAACTACCAGCAGTTCTGTGGGAGAAAGATGAGGATTTCTGCTCCTGTAAAGATTTACTGCCTCAGAAGCCCTATACAGGGTCACTACGAGTTGGAACTGACTCCATGGCACACAACCACCTCCACTAGTTGTATGGGGGAGGGTGGGATGGGGTTGGGTGAAAATATTTACTTTAAAATACTTTAAAATAGTAGTTTTAAAAATGGCTTTCTTAAACCTAAAATTTTATAAATGAACTAGAAACACAACATGCACTATTTTCTCAATTTATTAAATATTATTTGCAAAATGCAGGGGGAGTTTGTTAAATGCTTTTCATGTGTCAGTTTCTCTGTCAAACACTTTACACATTTTACTCCATTTAATCCTCACCTACAAGGTAGGTATCATTGTTCCCATTGTAATTATGAGGAAACAGAGACAAATAAAGTAACTTTATCCAAGGTTACACAGAGTGACTTCAGTCCATGGCTGCCCAGCCCTGCCATATGAGGAGGCTTGAAAAGTTTTAAGGAAAAATAGAATTAAAAAATAATGGAATTTTTCCATGAACTTTTTGGAGCCCCTAGTATGTCTCCAAACAAAATCTCCAGGTTATTCTGGACACTGCTGATCTGAATAGTGATTATTGCTTAAGTCAAAGACAACCATTCATTGGCTGGAGATAGGCAAAACCTTTTAACTTGACATAGCATGAAACAATACCCAAAAGAGAAACTCCATGTTGGATGATGGCAAACCAGCCCAAATGGATTCTCAGTGTCCCAGAAAGTATACAATTGGAATGCAAACCGAGAGGCTTGGTAACTTCCTCCACCTGAAACTGTATCTGGAACACTGTGCAACATGTGATTTTCCATAAACATGATATACATCCCAGTATAAAGGTCATGCCTTTTCTACTTCCCTATCCTTGTGCATACTCTGATGGCGCAAACAGTTAAGTACTGGGCTATGAACTGAAAGGTCGGTGGTTTGAACCCACCCAGTGGCTATTTAGGAGAAAGATCTTTATGATTCCATAAAGATTACACCCTATGGAGAAGTTCTACTCTATTACAAGAAGTCACTATGCGTCAGAAACAATTCTATAGCACCTAAGAACAAATACTTGAAAGAAAGCACCACTGTTAAGATAACTCAGACATGTCAACAATATACAGTGTTGTGGTTGTTGTGTG